ATGCTCTGCCGGGGAAGGAGGGACAATCTCCTCCTGTACCAGTCAGATCTGATTTGACGGTACACTCACACAAAAATAATAAAATAAAAAAAATTAAAAAAAAAAAAAAAGAATGAGACCATAGGGGAGCTCTGGTGGCCTAGTGGCAAGAAGCTGCACTGCAATCCCAGAGATATGAGGTTCGAATCCACCAGATGTTCTGCCGGAGAAGGAGGGGTACACACAGAGAGAAAATAATAATAATAAAAAAAGAATGAGACCATATAAAGATGCATTCCATAGTTTCAGAGAAACAAAGAAGAAAAAAAGGATAAAGTATAGATGGCTTTGGAAACTGATGACCTGGGTTCTAACTCCAACACCAAGGCTAGTAGTGGCTTTGAGACTTTGAACCAAGGTCAGTTTTCTCATTTAAAAATAGGAATAAATAAAGCCATATTCTTCATCACAGAATCAAAGGAACCTATCACTTAAACTATCCTACTTACTAAATGAGTGTCATCAAGAACAAAAGGTGTGTTCAAAAAGTGATAATCAGACTTCATCGTCTTTGGACACATCATCAGGAAAGGCCAATCACTACAAAAGGATATCATGTCTGGTAAAACAGGATGTCAGTGAAAATGAAACTTTCAATGAGATAGGTTAAAACAAAAAAGGTGTTTAAATATATCGAAGATCATCACGATGGCACATGACCTGTCAACGTTTAGTTCTATTATACATAAGGTCACCCACCTTGAGTCCATTTGGACAGTAACAACAGTGAAGTCAAGGAAAGAGCAGATAAGGAAACTAAGGTAACTCCAGTCCAAGTAGGACTCAAGAGCCAAACTTCGGAGATGACTTACTCTACTCTTAGCCAGTTGAGGCTAGGGGTATCCATACAAAGGTACTGAGTTGAGTTGGATAGCGGACGAGTCGAGCGTCCTACGACTCTGTGGACTCAACGGGAAAGACCCTGATAAAGCTTAATTAGAGACAGTTGTCATGGCGACAGTCTCTAAGCAGCGTGGGCTGCGCTCTCAGTAGGGCTAGAGGGTGGGCCGTCGCTGGACCCTGCGCGCGCCCGCCGCCAACTTTCCCTCCAGACTGGAGAGGGGAGGTGCGGGGGGCGGCGCGCTCCGCCCCCGCCCCCAGGCCGCGCACGTCCGCGCTCGGTGGCGCGCACGCCTGCGGGAACCCTCTCCAGGCAACCTAGTGCTGATTGCTCGTACCGGTCCGGCTGCTCACCGCCCTTGCAGGAACCCGAGGCTGGAGAAAATCCACCTCACATTTCTGGGCTTTGGGCTTTCTCCCTCCTCCCTCCCGGTCTGCCCCGGGGCATGAGCAGCAATGGCCGGCTGCAGCCCCGAGGAGAAAACTTACCAGCGTTTCCTGGAGCTATTCCTGGGCGAGTTTCGCGGGCCGTGTGGTGGCGGCGAGCCGGAGCCGGAGCCGGAGTCAGAGCCTGAGCCGGAGCCCGAACTGATAGCGGCTGAGACGACCGAAGCTTTGATTGAGGAGCCCGGGGAGGAAGAGGCGACGCTGGCCGCGGCGGAGGAAGGGGAGCCGGAACCGGAGCAAGACCCACGGCCCGAAGAGGAGGCGGTGGAGGAGGAGGAAGCAGTGGCGGCAGCGGAGGGCGAGGAAGAAGAGGAGGCAGTGGCCACCCCGGGGCAGTCGGCCGTGCAGCCGCCGCCGCCGCCGCAGTCCCAGCTGCCGCCTCTGCCTCCGCTCCCGAGGCCGCTGTCGGAGCGCATCACCCGCGAGGAGGTGGAGGGCGAGAGCCTGGACCTGTGCCTGCAGCAGCTCTACAAATAGTTAAGTAGCCGGGCTCGGCTGGGGGTGGGCCTCGGACGCGGCCCCTCGAAGTGTTCTCTTTGGCGATTGTAACCCGCACACCAGCGCCTGCCGCCGTGAGAGCGCCCCTGCTGCTGGGACCCGGGCGCTCGCGGCGAGCTGCCCACGCGCGCTCGCCCCTCGCGCCTCCTGCCGGCCCCGAGCCTCTCCCGGGCCCCTGCTTTCTCCCGCGCGATCCACTTCACACATCCTTCCCCTTAACTGCCTGGGAAGGTCCTTTTCCCTCGGCTGAGCTTCCTCTTCCCAGCTCCCTCCTGCCACCCGGAGGTTGCTTCCCACCTGGGTCTGTTTTTGCTGGGTCTGAATCCCTTGTTGTTTAGCGGCACAAAGGCTGAACCAGGAGATGCCTTCTTCTTAACCCAACAACGATGATGATGATGATGATTATGATTCCGGCTAGGTTTCCAGATCCGGAGTCCTTGGACTAGATGCTGTCAGGCGCTATGTAGAGAGTGAATAACTCTTTAGATGGTTTAACTCCCAAAAGGCTGGCGTTTTAGTTTAAAGAAATTTGATTATTTGGGGAGGGAAGCGGATTGGAAAGGAAGGATAAGCAAAATTTTAAAAGCCAGTCTCTGATGAGAGACCCAGAGTCGTAATTCGTTCAAGTAGCAAAGTAAGACTGGTTTGGTAAAATTGCAATTGTGTGCAGTATTTTCAGTTCATTAAGTAGATGGGGTCGAGGGAGAGAGAAAGCAGATGGCTTAGCTACACAGATGAAAGTCTAAAATAGAAAGGTCAAGGCTTTGCCTTTCATCCCAGTTCTGATTTTTATGAGCTTGAAATAGAAACAGTTTACAGTTGGCGTTTCTTTCCAAATGGAATTGTTCTGAAATAATAACAAAAGTTTACTAACAGATCTGAGAGAACATTAGTAAACCCGAGAAGGAGTCTTTTCCCATCCAGTTGATAGTTGTAAAAGAAAGGTTTTCCCCTCGCTCCCCAAAAGTTTGTAAGAGCTGCTGCAATTAAATTGAAGCTCAATTCTTGGAGTTCTCAAAACGCCGAACTAAAGAAGGGTCTGGAAAAGATAAAACTCATTCGTTTTCATGCAACCAGATTTTTCCTGTCAAAGGAGCAACTTCTAAATAGGGAAGACAGCCTTTAAGACATCTGCTGTAGAAGTGAACTGTGCCGATGTCTTGTACTTTATCAGTTCTTTAAAATACTAATTACCAAGGTAATACTTGCTTTCTGAGAAATATAAAAAATAAAATGAAGCATAATATGACCATTAAGAGATAAACAATGTATAGTACTTCTTTCTAGTCTTTGTAAACTAGTATAGATGAGGGTGTATAAAGTTCCATATTTTACACTGTGTAAATGCATTTTAAAAACTTTGCTGTACAATGGAATATTTACCGAAGTGAAGGAATTTATCACAGCTTTAGACCAGTCCTATTGTAACTGTTAATTCTTTCCTTCACAAATGCACTCTCAGAATTAGAGATACACATGTTTAAATATTGGGGAAGGCCTTAAAAAAGGTCATTAATTTAGAACAGTCCTGAACATTTGTCTATGAAGAAGGTTTCTAAAAATGAAGCCTGTACACAGATGTGTTTTTCTATATGTAAGGGAAGGAAAAAGCAAGGTTAATGTTGATTTATGTATAAATGAGAGAAAAATATTAAAATGAATATTTGACATCTAGTTGAGAAGGACACCATGCCTGGAAAAGTAGAAAGTCAGTGAAAAAAGGAAAACTTCAACAAGATAGATTGATTCAGGGCTGCAACAATGGGCTCAAAGATAGCCAGCCACAGTTTAGGAGTGTGGCGCCTGACCAAGCAGTGTCTCCCTCTGTTGTATGAGTCAGAAGCAGCTCTACAGCATCTGACAGTAACTAACTATTGAAAATAGAATTTAGATTTGGTGTGAAACTAGAAAAAATAAATTTGTAAAACATCATTTCATTGAAGTCAGGCTTCATTTATATTATGTGCAGAAGCTGTAAATCTATGTAAATGTTTATGTAAAATGCTTTTAAGGTTCTTTACAAGTTAAAACAAACAAACTCATATTCTTGTATACTTAAGAATAAATATTGGCAGGGCGGGGGTGGAGGGGAAGGGATGAGGGAATTAATTGTATACCAATGAAGGAATTTTTTTTTCTTTTCAGAGAGGAGAGCCAACTGCTGGGGAGGGGTGGACAGGGAGAGAAGTGCGGCAGTGAATGAATGGAAATCCAAAATCTCTGTAAATGTTTATTAAAATTAACAAAAAAAATTTTAAAAAAAGAATAAATATTGGAAGCCGTAGAAAGAATAGGCAATTTTTTTGCCAAGCACTTCATTTTACTGATGAGGAAACTTTGGATATAGATTGAGAAATGAAATGATTCCGACAAATTTTAGTACAGTCTTCCACCTCAGAGTTGTTGTTGTGTAGCATAGAGTCAGAACTGACGCGTTGTTGACCCTCTGGTGAAGGAGATTGCCCACCTTTCTCCTGCAGAGCAGCTTGTGGCCTTGAATCATGTGCCTTTGGGATTGCAGCACAGCTTCTTGCCACTAGGCCACCAGAGCTCCCCTAAATAATTCTTAAGAATATATTGGAATTGCTTGAGAAAGATAAGGATGTTTTCCCCCCTCAATACTCTTCTATTCTGTTTATTCTGGGAATTCTTAGCAATCCTTAAAAATTGTCAGATGCCTGTCAAATGGTGCTATTAAAATTCTTCAATGAAGTTACCCAAACTACACAGCCACCTAGTTGATAATCAGTAGAAAGTAATATAACACTATATTTTTTTAAAAAATTTCTTATAACACTACATTAAATACCAGTTTTCTTAGTTTTTAGTTTCTCTTCCTGTCAGTATTTTAGGGAGGAGGGGGAAAATACACACACACACACACACACACACACACACACACACGCCAACTTTGTTGTTGTTGTCATGTGCCATCAAGTCGCTTGCGTCTCATAGTGACCCTATGTACAAGATGCCAACTTTACAAGTGGAATATTTTAGAAATACAGTGTAAAGAGGCTAAATAGAAGTTCTTAGAAGAACTATAAAGAAGCTTATCTTCATGTGACATTTTTCTCAATGTTTTGTGTCTCTCAAAGAATTTTTTTTAGAATATGAAAAGCAGATATGTGTATAATTTTTCATTTTTCTGAGCTCAAAGCTCAGGATTATTTGAAATTAGCAATTATTTAAATAAAGAATCAAAGTTTAAATCGGCAAAATTCAGGGCAATATTTGGGGTCAATTTTTAACTTTTAGGCTTCAAAAATTAATATATACTTAAGATATTCCTTTGTGAGACTAGGTGAAATAGTATACTACTTTTTCTTTTTTGAAAAATATATTTTATTGTAATTTTAATGAAAGTCTACAGAAAAGTTGGATTTTCATCCATTCATTGTTGTACGTTTTCCTACTGCCTCCTTCCCCAGTTCACTTTTTCTTTTTTTTTTAAAAAAAAACCCACATTGTTGCACAACTTCATCCCTTCCCCTCCTTTCCCCCTCCCCACCACTTTGCAGTGCATTTCTTATTGCTGTCATAAATATAATGCCTAATCATATATTCCTTTAAAAATAGTTTCTTCCCCCTTATCTGTTCCAGTGTAGTGTTTATTACCTATCCACTCTTTCTGTTCCCCTCCCCGAACTCCCATGTCAGTCCTGCTATAATAGTGTTATGCAGGATTTGTCCTTTTGTGACTGAGATCTTTAACTGAGCAATATATCTTCTAGGGTCACCCATGTTGGGTAATATTTTACGAGTTGATTGTTTTTCATTGCTGCATAGTATTCCATTATATGGCTATACCATAACTTTTCTATTCATTTGTTTGTTGATGGGCACTTTGCTTGCTTCCATTTTTTTTTTTTTGCTATTGTGAATAACGCAGCATAAAACATGGGTCTGCATCTATCTATTTGAGTGGCAGCTCTGGTTTCTTTAGGGTATTTTTCCAGAGGTGGAATTACTGGGTCAAATGGTATTACTCTTTACAACTTTTTGAGAAAGTGCCAGATTGCCTTTCATAGTGGTTGTACCATTTAGCACTTCCACCAGCAGTGAATAAGGGTTTCAGTCTCTCCACAGCCTCACCAGCATTTGTTGTTTGCTGTTCTGTTGAACTTTGCTTTTGTTGCTGGGAGTGTATTACATTAAAAAAAAATACAACACACCTAATTGGAAATGGCAAAAATTCAATTGGATAACAAAGACATCTGTTGTGGAGTTAAATAACTTTTTAGTATAATTTACATAATTTTGTTTAGCTTTACTAAGCCTCAGAAATAAGTGATACATCCAATATTTTAGAATTATTTTACTGAATGCTTATTAGTAATTTCCAGTGAACTTTCAGCTACTAGGGAAAAAAATGACTGTTTCTTTCCTTCTTTGAACTCCTTCTGTTGTTCTTGTTATGTGCCGTTGAGTTGACTATGACCCTTGGCAACCCTGTGTACCATAGCGTTGAACCCAGCACGATCCTGAGCCAATATCACTGTCTCTGACTAAGTGTTATCTCTGTTACCCCATTTATTGTGTCAGTCCGTCTCATCCAAGGTCTTCCTATCCTGTGCTGTCCCTTGACCCTTTGAAGCATGATATCCTTCTCCAAAAACTGATCCTTTCTGGCTCCTTGCCCAAAGTATGTGAGACAGAGTCTCAAAATCCTTGCCTCTAAGGAGCAGTGTGGTTTCACTCTACTCAGGACAGACCCTCTTCTCTTGGCAGTCTATGGATATATGTTCAGTACTTTTCTGTCACACTACACTCAAAGGCATCAGCTCTTCTTCTGCCATCTTTGGCATAAACTCAAAGGCATCAAATCTTCTGTCATTCATTCCCCAGCTCTCTGATGCATAACAAGGAATTTTGAAGACCCTGGCCTGGACCAGGCGCACTTTTGTCTTTAGACTGACATCCTTGCTCTTCATCATCCTGGAGAGATCCCTGACAGCAGAGTTTTCTAATGCAATTT